ACATATTCACACTAAAAATGTGAAAATTCTCGGGGAGGGTCAAAAATCACGTGCTTACAAGACTCATCAACAACAAAGAAATTAATCACCTTGAAGTCTTTGGAAAACAAGCACCGAAGATTCTTCACACCTTCGTCATTAGTTACCAAGTAGTACCTCCCCGAAGGTCCAGTCACTAAAAGTTGCTCGGCAGAGCTAAAACCTAACTTTTTTGTAAATTCTTCACAAATAAAATCATATTTAACAAGATAAGAGACATAACCAGACAAAGTGTGCACCGACATCTTATTATATACTATCTCGGGGGAAAAGACCCAATTACCCCCATAGTGAAACACCAAGTCCACTTTATCAATCATCTTCAATGGACTTCACATGTAAAGGTATAGAAAAAGGGACAAGACCACATCAATATATATAAAGTAGTCATATTCAAAACACAGACAAAAAAAAAATAGCAAATACTGTCCAAGATTATCAAATTAATGTATTAAAATACAAAAAGACCCAACCACCCGACAAAACCATCAAAATTATCAAATTAACTGACTGTATTTTGTTCTACATTAAAATACAAAAAAATATCAGAAACTATATCACTCTTTAATGGATTTTAACAAAGCATAGCTTGTCCCTACATATGAAACACACAAGAAAAAATTTGAAATCCCATATATAACACACAAAGAAAGAATAAAGTAGTCATACCTTAGTCAGAAGATGGAAAACCCTAGCTTGTCATACTCAAAGATGGAAAACCCTAGACGGCCTGTTTAGGAAGAAGAAGACAGAAAGAAGAAGATGACAGAAGGAAGAGGGAAATGGGTGGGGAACGTCTGTTTTAGGGCTGGGGCGATACAGTATAGGGGATTAAGTTTGGGTCTTTTAGAATTAGAGGTGAGTCGGGTCGGGTCGGTAGATTTAGGTCGGGTTTGGTATTAGATAATTAAAAAAAATGCTGGTTCCGTCTAATAAGGGCATGGATGCACAACTATTGGACGGTTTGGATATATTTGGACCAAACTAATAACGACGGGCATATTTGTCCTATTTCGCATAGTTCACAGGCATATTTGGACCTTTTCCGTATTTTTAAAAATGGGGCTCCCAAATTTGAGGGCCTAAGATACAAGCCTTATTAGATAGAAGATTAAAGTCGGCTTTGGGGATTATACTAGTAGCCTGTTTGGCCAAGCTTCTCAAGACAAAAAAAGTATTTTTTCCCCCAAAAGCACTTTTTTTCCTAATTTGAGGTGTTTGGCCAAGCTTATTTGGGAAAAAAAAGTGTTTTTGGGAAGAAGCAGAAGCAGTTTCAGAGAAGCAGAAAAAAGTAGCTTCTTTCCAAAAGCAGAAGCAGAAGCAGTTTTGGCTTTTCTTCTTACCTAAAATACCCTTCACAAAATATAGTATATACCAAAATAACCTTTAAACCTAATACTTAGGATATTAATTTATAAATATTTCTTCTTATTTTTAGGAAACTTTCTAATATATAGTGTCTTTAGGGGTGGATATTTTTATATTNTTTTGACTTTTCTTCTTACCTAAAATACCCTTAACAAAATATAGTATATACCAAAATAACCTTTAAACCTAATACTTAGGATATTAATTTATAAATATTTCTTCTTATTTTTAGGAAACTTTCTAATATATAGTGTCTTTAGGGGTGGATATTTTTATATTTGTTGAAGGAATTTTAATATATTTAACTTATATTAAAAGAATTAAGTATTTTTTAATTTTATTTTCATATTTTACTTAATTAAAATGATTTTTTTTTTAATTATTCCATGTAATAACAAAATTTTGATATTATTTATTTACTTATAATATTAATTATTAAGTAAATCTATTCATGTCCTTATTCGTAATTTGACACGTAAAAGCACTTTCTAAAAAGTTTGGCCAAACACAAATTATTTCTGAAAAGTGCTTTTCAAACTGATTAGCCAAACACAAATTGATTCTCTCCAAAAGTACTTTTTTCAAAAACACTTCTCAAAATAAGCTGATTTCTCCAGCTTAGCCAAACAGGCTATAGGTTTTATCCCCTAGGTTTGTTGTTGTTGTAGCAGTCACTCAAAGATTAATCTTTCCACTCTTCCTTCTTCAACTTTGTAGTTTGGTTATATTCTTGCTCTTCATGTTGATCGTGATTTCTTTCTTATTGAATTATAAACTTCCCTTATTAACGTTTTGCGTTCAAGCAAAGAAATGTCGTTACAAAATGATGAACAGATCATTTGCTTATCGTCTTACCATGCTCCTGGTCCGTTGCCATCCGTGAAAATAAGGATTTGCAGTTATTTTAATTTTATTTCTCTAAACGATCCAGTAGCATTAGGAGAGATAATCTCCACATAAAACTGAAGATTTTTCTGCTTCTTATATTTCTTTTCCGCATAACTAATATCCACATGTGTTATACCGTAATCTATGTATTATTTTATGTCTTAACAGAATGTGAAATGAAAATGTGGGTATTTAGCTTTCTTGACTACTATTCACCAAGGAAAAAATAAAACATTGCCGACTGAAATTTAAAGATAATATTTATCGCTGCATACAAAATACATTACTTCCGTCTTCTCTAATGAAAAATTCATCATCCACGGCTATACACTGAATTTAGTTAGAACTAATTATGGCATTGATACACATCATCTGCATCGTTATAAACAAATAAGCAGAAGAAATAATAGAAAATAATACTATTAACTTGACCGCACATCCTCAATTGCCGCTATTAAATTATCAAGTTTTGCTCCAGTGACTTCTTTAACGACCTTATTATTCTTCAGAATCTTGAACGTTGGAACCACCTTTATGCCTAGTTCCTTGGCTAGTGGCTGCCAAAAATTATCACATTAATCAATTCTGTGTGTATGTGTGTATTGTTTCATTAGAAGGGAATGGTGAGTTTAACGAATACATACCCTATTATCCTGGTTGCAATCAAGCTTCAGAAAGACCACGTCATTATAATTCTTCGACAGTTCTTGAAACTTTGGAGCAATCACTTTGCAAGGACCACACCTGCAGGTGGGTTGAAATCAGAAATCAAGAGATAGAAAACAAAGAAAAAATGGAGAAGACCCTCTAGAATGCTGTTTCCCACAGGCACAAAGGTTATCGATTAAATTGATAATAAAAATGAGGTAAACAACTAGTTCAAATTTCGAAGAAATATTCAATCAAGTAACGACATATCAGACAGGAGACAGTGTATGGTTACGACAGGAGGGCGTGATTAACCCCCTTAATACTTAGACCATTCTTCAAATCCTACATCTGAAAGCATACAAAGCCTCTCCAATCACTTGACTATTTGTAACATTCTAGTCTGCAACAGTTGCTCTGTTTGTAGTAAATTCAACATACATTGTCATTTTGATCAAAACTTGTGTTACTCAGTGTTGACTAGACCACATGCCTGAAAGTATGGGTCTTGATACCCGTAAGACGATAATTCATAGCACAAAGGTGAGTCAGAATGTATGCCCCTGTCTATTTTTTTTGGATGAATACACAAGATATCGTTTCATGATGATCAATAGTGAAATATTTTGCAAATTTGGCCTCTCTCCCTATATTTGTATTTGGTTGGCACAGGGGGTGGAGGCTGTAGCTTCATTTGCAAGGTGTAGAGCTATGGATGTGAACAATTTCAGTTGTACCAACTACCCACCTAGGTAGAATCTGTCCCATTTTGGAAACAATTTTGGTGACAGCAGAAACTTACAGAACAGCCGGTTAACATTCTTCCTGTGACCGCCAAATACGATTTTCAAATACATCCCATAAGGTCAAGAGAAGCAGTGTAAAGTGAAATTGCTTTAGCCAAGAAATCAATAGTCTTTGACAGTCATAAAGAGTGAAAGGGAAGCAAAACGCCATTTGACCATTTGTACTGCTCTTAGGCACATTTTCCACTTAGGTCATAATTGTTCTGAACTATCCATCAACATAGATATCAACGGTCACTTCACTTAAGGAGAGAACGATTGAAGAACACTACCTAGGCTAAGTCAATAATGGGATTGTGAAGATAACTCTCTCCAAAATTGTCCAATAACAGGGTTCATCTCTTAAACAAGATTTATAAGAATCTCCCTTTTAGAAGAAAGGTTATATATATACGTCCATTTTCTAGTGGTGGTGGAACCAACCAAGATGTATCATGTATGTCTGACCAGACCCAGACTCTTTCTACCTGACCCATTTGACTCTCTAACCGTAGTTATTTAGGGGGTATTCTGAGATAGAATTCCACAGGAACACACGAAACAAAGAAATGATCTGGGTAAAAAGAAATGGAAAAGAGATGTTTCTATTTCATCCAAATAAGAAACTTTTTTTTACATCCATGTGCCACAACTAGTACTAATTTGAAATCTGAAACAATATCAGCTTAATTAGTTCTCCTATTCCACGATCTCCCAAATTACAGTAGTAAGGCAAACTTCTCATCAATCATTTATACTTTCACTGCCTCACAGAGGTGGTGTCTTCCCCAGTAGGCATATGAAAACAAATTGCCTATCATTTTTATCTCTACTGTATTTCGAACCATGTTCAACCATGGTGTTCTTCTAGCTTCATTGACCGGTATGCCACACCCTTGGGTGCTACTTATCCAATTCTTAATATTATGGTTTAAGTTATATGCACTGACAGTGTAATGATTACATCATCAGTGTAAATGCTATTAAAAAAGTTATATACAGTCAGTTACCTTTTAGATGATCGGATTGTGTAGATATGCATAGAACTTAAACTCTATTATTACTACCTTAGCCGTCAAATTACACCAATCCTCCTCCTTATCTTTATCTTGAGACCAACTATACTTTGCGAAGCTTACATAGGCAGGATTATCAGGATTACGCTAATATTGAGCAAAACAAGAAAAACTTAACCATAATTAAGCACTAATTCATCAATCTACAAGGGGGGAAGAGAGAGAGAGCATATGTAATCTTACCACTGAGTGTACATGTCAACTACGACAGTTTTATCACCGGCAGCTTCAACAATAGGCCAAAAGGTATCTTTACAAACTTCAGTCACCTGCCCTACCGTCACACTGGTAGTAGCAGTAGCATCGGAGCTACACTTCACCTTCAAACTCAGCCCCCTGTTGTTAAAAACCCTAGGCGAAAAGCCATAATCTCCTGCAACGCAGACCACTGATTGCTTGCTGGACCTCCATGCAGAAGATGAAGGCACCGTTGAAGGCTTCAAGGATACGCCGTTTACTTGCACTTGCAACGCCATTCGCTGTAACTGTTTGTGTGTATAGCTCTGTGTATATGTGTATGTATAGGTAGAGAGAGAAAGTTAAAGAAAGAGTGGGCGCAGTGTGTGTGTGTGTGAGAAATGGCGGAGGATTTGAAGGTAGAGGGGGAGAACAGGGATCATTTAATTTGATATGTGAAATGACTATATTAACCCTTAAGATATTCTTTTCTTTTTTTCTCCAGCTCTTGAGATATTCCATTCGGGGTTGTTTTGGTAATTTTTAGAGATTTGATCTTGTGGTTGAAACTGCATTTCATGGATGAGGCCAAAAGGGGTTAGGCAGCGTGGGATACTTGGTCCAGATAAACGATTTTTTGGTCCTTTTTCTTCTTTTTTTTGGGAAAGAGAAAAATTTATGCTTTATTTTTATTCTTCTTCTCATTATCCTCTTGTGGAATGTATTTTTTCCATTTAGGATTGTAAAGGTATAAATTGCATTATTTATTTTTGGGAGAAATTCAAAAATAGCCAGATTTACAAGTGATCATTTAAAAATAGCTTTAGTTTCAAAAGTAATCGAAATTTAGTCACTTTTCATGTAAAGATAAATTTGAACGAAAACACTGTTCAAAATCCGAAAAAATACTCCAGCATAATATACTGGAGTTCCAGTATAATATACCGGTCTTGCATAATATACTGGAGTTTGGAACACCGGTGTTCCAGTCTCCAGTATATTATACTGGAGCCAGCAAAGTATACCGGTCCAGCATAATATGCTGGAAGTTCATACACAGGTGCACCGAGCTCCAGTATATTATGTTAGATCGATTTTTGTTGCAGCAAAATAGTGGCTATTTTTCAATGACTTAGCAAACGCTGACTATTTTTAAATGACCAGTCCGAAAATTGACTATACCATGCTATTTTAACTTTATTTCTTGAGGCATGGCTGGCAAGGTTAAATGTACGTTATATCATGTATGGAACAATTATAACATCAATTAGTGTTATTTAAGAGTGAAAATTTTGGGCCATTAAGATTCAATGTATCACAAGATGATTGTCATAGAAATATAGGTGTTAAAGATGGATGTACGGCAGTAAGAGATTATGCAAAATTACAGATCACTATTGGGCAAAAGGTGCAAGTGGCATGCATCGAGGATAAATATGAAAAATAATACTTGAAATAGTTTGATCATGTCATGTATCAACCTCCAAAAGCATCGATTTGTAAAAATAGCATAGACTAGCCAATTTTCGGACTGGTAATTGAAAAATAGTTAGCGTTTGTAAATTCATTAAAAAATAGTCACTATTTTGCTGCAACACGAAAAGCTCCAGCATAATATACTGAAGATTGGTGCACCTGTGTATGAACTTCCAACATATTATGCTGAAACTCCAATACACGAAAAGTTTCAGCATAATATACTGGAGATTGGAGCACTTGTGTATGATCTTCCAGCATATTATGCTGGACTAGTATATTATACTAGAACTGGAAGTCCAGTATATTATGCTGGAAGTCCAGTATATTATGCTGGAATATTTTTCGAATTTTGAACAGTGTTTTCGTTCAATTTTATGTTTACATGAAAAGTAGCTAAATTTCGATTACTTTTGGAATTGTGGCTACTTTTCAATTACCACTTGTAAATGAATATGTTAATGGATCATTTGGTTGGGGAATAAGTTATCTCGGGTTATAAAGACATGATTATAATACAAGAATTAAATAGTGATGAAATTATTTAGTGAATATATTTTTATTGGTAGATGTTTGGTTCATTGGACTAAAAATAAGATATATGGAGTATAATATAAAATATGTGTTTGTTGTATACTAGATAGTTGGAACTAAATTTTTACTTTCAATTTTAATCTTGCACTTTTTAAATTGACTTTAATGGAAGAGCTTGGAAAAGGGCATCTTTGTTATTATAGCATTTGATACCGGGATTAAGTAATTTAGGGATTATTATCCTACTTAATATCGTAATTGTTGTATAAAGTAGTCCCAAAATTGCTAATTCGGAATACAAAAATTTAACTAAACGCGGGATAAACTAATTCAGTATCTAATCCCGAAATATTATCCCTTATTCCACCAACCAAATGATCCCTAAAAGCATATGTGATAGACCTAAAATCATATTGAAGAAAAATCAATCTTTTGAATACACATAAACCTAGCGAAAAATATGACACAATATAAGTAGAAAAAAATGTATCAGTGATAAAAATTACTTAGTTCATAACATGCCTTAGCCATTTAGTACCTTTACTTTAGGTTCTATATTTTTTATGAGTCCAACCAAAAATTTGTATGTTAGTAAAAAATATAGAAAAATAATTTCAATTTGTAAACAAAGAAAAATAATTTATGTATGAAATTAGGCTAAAAATAAAGAAGCAATAATCATAATTTTTTGTTAATACGTAAGCAATAGTTTACCTTGTAAAAGAATACTTATTATTTCTTATTTAACATTACATTAAAAAGTCGAAAGATGTTTTGGAAAAATACAAAGAAAGAATATGAATGAAGAGTTTCAAAACCTAACATATTATGATGTTTTCATATTACTTTGCCAATCATGCACAACCAATAAAAAAATAAAATCGAGAATGAATAAATCAAAAAGGCAAATATAAATAATAGTCTGTTCAAAATAAAAAATATGAATGAAAAATCAATCATACAAAAAGGAAGATAAAAATTACATCACGATACTTACAAGTATGAAAATTCATGTGGAAAATAAAGTCAAAGAAATATAAATGAAATATTGTCACGCATTGTTATTACATGACCAAACTAAGTAAATTTGCGCTTGAACAAAATTCATATGCAAAGGTAAATGAAGCTCTCTGTCTTTTTTATGTTTTGCATTAACCAGATTAACATATTTCATTTTCTTATTTATCGTAAAATTATAATTAGTTTGTATTAATAGAAAAGTTTGAAACAATTGTTACAAAGAAATCAAAAATAGAAAGCTAAACGTAATATTATAAACCACAAGAGAATCTAGTACTATGAAGGCAAAGTTTAAGAAAGGTCTCTATAATTAAGGAAGTAACTTAAATATTTTGTGAGACAAGAAGGTTCTTAGAATTCCTTTACGAATCACTGGATTTCAGAAAAGGTTAAATAACTATGACTTCTTTTTTTTCACCAAAGTCATATAACATTATTTTGTAATAGAAAAAGTTTTACTAACACAAAAGTCGTAATGTCGGAAACAAAACCTTTCGATGCACCGATGATTTTGTACTCCATATTTTAACTTATTTTTTATACTTAATATAATAAATACCGACCTAATTAAATATAACGATCCAATCGATCCTTTTGAGTTCTAGAATCCAATTCCCCTATTTGATACTTTTTGTAGATTGTTTTGATATTTCATAACTTGTGGGGATGGGTGATTTGGTTTTCGAGATATTCAGGGGTGATTTGGTTTTCGAGATATTCAGGGGTGATTTAAGACACTTAGTTCCTAGCTTGAGGCTTAATGTTGAAAAAAATGACCAAAGTCAATATCATGGGTAAATGACTCCGGATTGGTAATTTGAAGGTTCCAATATATTCGTATGATAATTTTGGACTTGTATGTATGTTTGATTCGGGTTTCGGTGACCCGGGATTAATTTGCGCTTCTAGCCGAAAGTTAAAATTTTGAACTTAAGAGAATTTGAGAATCTTGGTTTGATGCGTGATTCTCGGATTTGATGTTGCTATTAGTGTGTTGAGCATTTGAAAAGGTTTGTATGGGATTATTAGGATGATTAGACAGGTTTTGAGGAGCTCGGGTGAGTTTTCGGTGGTTTCGAATTATTTTGAGCTAAAATTAGATTGCTGATTTTCTTATGCACAACAGTGCATCGTGATCGCGTGGCTTGGGTCACGATTGCATAGTAGATGAGTGAGGCTTAAAGAGATTGTGCTTCACGATCACGTGTGGAGGTTCGCGATCGCGTAGTTCTGACATATGGGGGAATCACGATCACCTGAGGGGCGTCCATGATGTTACGACCCAAACCAAAGAGCCGAAACTGGCACCCGGTGCCTTACTCAATTGAGCGCCAACATACCTTACTTGCTTACTTATTATTAGACTCGTCATAGACCAAAGAAGCCACATCAATACACAAGCATACAAGAAATATAAGCTCAATTCATGATAAGAAACCCAAAAGATATATATACATATGTGTGGAACGACAAGGCCATCATGATAGACTGACAACCAAAACTATACACAAGACATTATCTGCAAAGCCTTTAAAAGTGAAACGTCATCATAGTACATAAGTCGGGACATGGCCCAAACATACCCAAAATTGCAAAAGACATATACATATATACCTTGACATGGTAATTCTTCGAAAGGAGATGGAGCTCATCAACCAAAAGTTGATAGCAAGGGACAACTTACTGTGAAGGGTCCTTTACTCGTTAACCTGATCCTGTATAGCATGAAACACAATGTCCCTCGACAAAAGGACGTCAGTACGAATAATATAATGAGTATGTAAGCATAACTAAAATATAACAATAAAACACTATCAATGAGAGGGATACGAATGAACCTGAAATCTCTGAATTACCACTGAGGTCCATGATATGCATAATGACTATATTTATATATGATTCCACTCCACATGGCTATACTATTTTATATCGAGATGATCTTCAAGGCTAATATCAATATTGCAAATTTTAAGTGCCCAACTTATCAGTGGTAACTACCCGAACGGCTGTAGCTTGTGGTAAATATATAACTGCCCGATCGGCTGTAGCTCGGGCCTCGATGGTAGATACATGACTGCCCGACCGACCATAGCTCAATGGTAAGGTAGGAATACCATATCCATACCCTTATAGATACTGTATATGCATATATAATGCCATTGTTCATTTATATGTATCTATACAATGTGTAAGAGCCTTTTAAGATATTAGAACCTATTTCGGAGTAACTTATAGTCGTTCACCCTCCAATTATGTTATGAACGTTTAACATCATCATTATATGGCTCAATAGGGACTTAGGAATCATATTTAAACATGCTTTGGAATACATTTCATAGGAATGATTAACATGGACATCCTTAAAGTAGAACCATTTATG